GAATTTTGGAGGATTTGGAGAGGAAGAACAAGGCAAAAACAAGGTAGTCCACTTCAAGATTCAAGATTTCACTTCAAGAATCAATTGGGTGATGTTTTTCCTTGGTTTTAATTATTGTTTTTCTTTATTTCCCATTATGCTAGGCTAGATTTTTATTATGCTAGGAGATCGATGCACCATGTAGTTGGATCTTTAATTTTCTAGTTTTGCAATTTGACATTAAAATATATATTTCTTTTGTTTTGAATGATTTATATGCATTTATTGTTTCCGCAATTAAGGGCCCGTAATTGTGTGAGTTTGGGTGATTTATTCTTGCATTCGAGAGAATTGGAATAGATTCGACATAATATAAATCATCGTAGGGTCCGATAGGGGATAGAAATATACCGCTATGCCCTACGTGAATCTTTAAGTGTTCATAAAACTACATGCATTTTTACATATGCACTTGTCATAGAAATATAGGCCGGTGGTATGTAGAAATAGGTTTGATATATCTCGAGAGAGAGTATTGGATAGACTTAGGAACATTGATTCGTCAACAATTGAATTATGTTGTCATATTGCGAAACTAGAGTTTAAAGTGATAATTGCATGGAAAATCGTGATCCTAGTGTATTTCATTCCTAATAATTATAACTAGTGCGTTCTCAACTTTTAGATTTCATTCTTGAGTCTAATTTATTATTTTGCATATTAATTTCAATTTAATCATAAAAAATTTGCATAATTGAGGTTCAATTAGGTCTACATTCACTTTGGTAATTTAGTTTCGGTTAAGGCTAAGGTAGATAAAATTTGAACTAATCAATCTCTGTGGGACGATATTCGGACTCATTAAATCCACTTTATTACTTGTTAACGAACCGTACACTTGCGGTGGTTTAAAATCGAAAGAAATAATTTCGCCAACAGTATCTTTCCCAAACAAAGACCTGAGTTTACATAGGCAAAACAAAAAGTAATTATCTCCTCCATGACCAGAGAATAATGCAAAATGTTAATTGCTATGAGTAGTGGGTTGTTACAAAAAAGGTCAAAAAATACTGGCTAGTTTAACCCATTAAATAATTTTGAAAATAATAAAATAATAAAAAAATTAGTTTAGTAAAAGAAGCCCAAAAGCCCAAGGTCCTAATCAAGACGTTTTAATAATTGCATGGGAAGTGACCCGAACCTCTGACGTCCCATACAAATGCCACATTTTCCACTATTTCGGCACTTAATCTAATTTGATTATTTCTTTCACATTTTGTATTTATACTATAAATATATAGCAATCCCCCACGTGAAAAAAAAATAAATGAAAATATTACTCTGGAGTACAGTAGAAATCATGTAGGCTTAGGTGTCTACCGACTTGAACCTTGACTTTGTACATTCTATCAAGCTTGCTAACTGTAGAGTGAACTATGTCTTGAACTCTACAATTATAATTGCAAACTGAGACAATATAACACACATGATTTCTAGAACAATCATTGAGTTCTCACAGTTGTATTCATTTCGGCCGTGAACTTTTCCAATTTATTTGAGAGCTCTAGAGAATTCGCCCCAATTCTCATGGGAAGCAACCCCACTTCCACATTCAAATAGGTGATTCTATCAAGGGTGCACTGTATCTAAACACCCCATTGAATATCAGCTATAGTAAGCATTAAGAGCATTAGCTCATCCTCTAATCAATACAGTTGGTACTACGCATCATAGGGAGAGGTTTGGAAAAAATCGAATGTAGTACCCTCACAGACCACTCCAATAAGTTTGTTGTCCCATTGAACCTTGACCATGTGATCTCTAATTGTAAGGTTGGATTTCCGTTATAGGTGATCTAATATGTAATGGACTTTAGCCCCATCCCCCTCGATGTTTGTTGAACTAGCTCTCTAACTAATCCTTTGATTAATGGGTCAGCAATATTATGACTTTACTTCACATAGTCAATAGCTATAATCCTATCCTTAAGCAGCTGATGCACATCATTGTGCCTCCTATGAATATGTCTAGACTTTCCATTGTAGGTTGAATTTTGAGCTCTTGAAATAGCTGCTTGACTGTCACAATGGATTGAAATAGTTGGAAATGATTTAGAACACAAAAGAACATCCATAAAAAAATTCCTTAACCATTTAGCTTCCTCACCTGCCTTATCTAAAGCATGAACTCAGATTTCATAGTAGATTTAGCAATGCAGGTTTGCTTAGTGGATTTTCAAGGTACAGCAATGCCTACTAATGTAAATACATATCCTCTTGTAGATTTACTTTCATTGGTATCAAAAATCCAATTAGCATCACAATATCCCTCAAGTATAGCAGGGAATTTGGTATAATGTATTCCCCAATCTAGAGTGTCTCTCAAATACCTCAAGACTCAAATGAGAGTATCCCAATGTTCATTGTTAGGATTACTAGTATACATGCTAAGTCTACCGACAACATATGCTATATCAGGTCTTGTACAGTTCATGAGATACATAAGACTACCGATTACTCTAGCATATTCTAAAGCGGAAACACTAGGACCTGAATATTTTCTCAAATGACGGCTTGCATTATAAGGCGTTTTAGCAGGATCACAGTTGTATTGGTTAAACTTCTTAAGCACATTTTCTACATAATGTGATTGGGTCAAAATAATTCATTCAGAATGTTTTACTATTTTGATTCCTAGAATAACATCAGCAATACCCAAATCTTTCATTTTGAACTGCTTTTTCAAAAACTGTTTAGTTTTATTTACCACATCTAAACTAGTTCCCATAATAAGCATATCATCAACATATAAGCAAATTATCACACCACAATTATTTTCAAATTTGCTATATATGCATTTATCTACTTCATTTATCACATAACCACTTGATGTCAAAACTGTATCAAATTTTTCGTGCCATTGTTTAGGAGCTTGTTTAAGACTATAAAGGGATTTTTTAAGTCTACATACTTTATCCCTAAGGCCTTCTATAAAAAAATCTTTCAGGCTGTTCCATATAAATCTTCTCTTCTAAGTCTCCATTTAAAAATACAGTTTTGACATCCATTTGATGTATAATAAGATCATACAGTGAAGCAATTGCAATTAACATCCTAGTAGAGGTAATCCTAGTAACGGGTGAATAAGTATCAAAGAAGTCAACTCATTCTTTTTGTCTATAACCTTTGGCTACAAGTCTTGCTTTAAATTTATCAATCGAATCATCAGGTTTAATTTTTTTCTTAAACAACCATCTACACCCAATTGTTTTACATCCTTGATGTAAGTCATCTAACTCCTAAATATTATTAGATATAATTGAATAATATTCACTATTTACAGCTTCCTTCTAAAATATAGAATCTAGTGAAGACATAGCTTCACCAAAGGTACGAGAATCATCTTCTACTAAGTAGGTTATAAAGTTAAGACCAAAAGAAGTGGTCCTAGGTCTTTTGCTTATCCTAATTTCAAATTTTTCTAATTTAGATGGCTCCTCTCTAACACTAGGAGAAATACTAAGAGAACTGCTTGGTCCTTTAGACTTTTCTTAAACGGAAATCTATTTTTAAAAAATTCAGCATTTCTAGTTTTAAATATTGTGTTCTTTTCGATCAAATTATTTTTAAAGTAAATAACTAAAAATCTGTAGGCATGACTATGAAGTGCAAAACCTATAAAAACACAATCAAGAGTTTTTGGACCAAGTTTAGTTCTCTTAGGTGTTGGAATAGAAGTTTTAGCTAAACACCCCCACACTTTAGGATATTTATATAAAGGTGTTCTACCCTTCCACATTTCATAAGGGGACTTATTATTTTTCTTACTAGGAATTCTGCTAAGGATATAACACGCAGTCATAAGTGCTTTCCCCAACATGTTATAAGGTAATTCAGAAGAGTTTAGCATTAATATGGCTATATCCTTAAGAGTTCGATTTTTCCTTTTAGCTACACCATTAGACTGGGAGAATAAGGTGGAGCAATCTTATAAATAATGTCATTCTCAATACAGAATTTATCAAAATCTCCAGTATCTTCTCCTCCCCTATTAGACCTTAAAACATTAATAGTTTTGTCTAGCTGATTTTCTACTTCAGTTTTACATGAAATAAATTTTGAATAGCTTTCATCCTTGCTCTTAAGTAGATAAATATAACAATATCGAGAATAATCATAAATGAAAGTGAAGAAATATTTATTTCCACCACGAGTAACATATCATTTTAAATCACATAAATTAGAATATATCAGATTTAAAACTGAAGTAGTCCTATCAACATAAGAAAATAGTTTTCTAGTCTATTTAGATTCAACACACGTTGCACATTTTGAATTTGAAAAATTATCGATTTTGGGAATGTTTCCCAAACTTATTAATTTTTTAATGGAAGTTTTATTAACGCGTCCAAGTCTAGCATGCCACAAATCATAAGAATCCAACTAGTAAATGGAAGTGCTAGATACATTATTATTAATCACAAAAATATTGAGTTTAAACAGATTCTCATCTGCATGCTCATTCCCAACAAAGGAATCACCCTTAGACAGTACAACTTGACCACTCTCAAATACAATCTTAAATCCCTTTTTGACTAAGACAGTCCAAACACTAGATTTTCCTAATATCATTTACATAAAGGACATCCTTCAAATTAATGATATTTTCAGAAGTAAATCTAAGTGTCACAACTCTTTTCTCCTCGATTTTGGAGAAGGAAGCATGCTCCATGAACATACATTCTTGATCACTAGCATGAGTGAATTAAGAAAATGCACCTCTCGTGCAACAAATGTGCTTGGTAGCTCTAGAATCTACCCACCAGTTTGTCATGTTGTTTACTAGATTCACTTCTGTCACTATAGCAGAGAAATTCTCATCCTCTATCATATGTGCCTGATTCTTCACTGCTTTTCCTTTCCTATTTTTACAATTCTATGCAAGGTGACTTGGTTTACCACAAAAAAAATAGTTACGAACAATTTTATTTTTAAATTGGGGCTTAGACCCATTGTTCTTTTCTACAAATTGTTTTCCCTTGTTTCTGACTCTAAAATTTTACCAAAATTTTTTTTGACCCTTTGTAAAATTTCCAACTGGTTTTTTACTACAAAACTTCCTTTAATAAGATTAGCCTTGGTATCAAAATCTGGTCTTTCTCTACGTTCAGTCATTCTATTGTCCTCCTCAATTTTAATCCTGATAATCAGATCCTCTAAGGGTTTTTTTTTTCTCTTATGCTTCAAACCATTTTTATATGCTTTCCAAGAAGGTGGCAATTTTTCAATTATAGCTAACACTTGAAAGCCCTCATAGATTTTATATCCTTCTGCAATAATTTCATGAATTATAATCTGCAATTCTTCAACTTGACTAACCACAGTTCTACCGTCATTCATTTTAAAATCTAGAAACTTTCTCACAACAAATTTCTTGGTTCTAGCATCTTTTGTAACATATTTCTTTTCTAAGGAATTCCATAATTCTTTTGTAGATTTACACGATAAGTAAACATCATATAAATCTAACGTCAAACAATTCAGAATATAATTCCTGCACATATAATCCTTATGTTCCCAATTAACTAATTCATCTATTTCCTTATCAGTAGGATTATCAGCAATTACAAAAATGGATTTATCTGATTCAATAGCATGAATGACTTTAAGAGTTGTCAAATAAAATTGCAGTTTCGTTTGCCATCTCTTAAAATTCTTTCCATCAAACGACTCAGGTTTTTCAGAATACTTAGAAACAGATATATCTACGACAGACATGGCAACTAATTATAAATAAATTTCACTTTAGATTATTAGTTGCAGTAACGTTCAAAACATAAAATGCAGAATTATAAAACTTATCGTCTGATCGAGTCTCATGAAAGCACGATATCCTAAAGTGAAATTGCTCGTGGATAATTGCTGCGACCTCCGTGAACAATCACTCCCAAGATACAACGATCGTAAACTACTTGTGCAGCAATTACGAATGACTTTCAGAACTCTCATAGGTACTCCAAAATATATGTAAAAATTGAGTATAAAAAAATTCAGGTTACGAGAAATAAGATTTCTTTTCAAACGATTTTCTGTTTTCTTCTATGTGTCTTTCCCAAACAATGACCTGAGTTTATATAGGCCAAACCGGAAGTAACTGTCTCTTTCGTGACCAAAGAATAATGTAGAATGTTAATTTCTATGAGTAGTGAGTATTTTAATGATTGTGAGTAGTGGGTTGTTACATAAAAAAAGTTCAAAAAATACTGACTAGTTTGACCCGTTAAATAGTTTCGAAAATAAATAAAATAATAATAAAATTTAATTTAGTCAAGGAAGCCCAAGAGCCCAAGGCCCCAATCAAGACTTTTTAATAATTGCGTGGGGAATGACCCGAACCCCTGACGTCCCACACAAATGCCACATTTCCCACCACTTGGGCACTTCATCTAATTTGATTATTTTTTTTCACATTTTGTATTTATACTATAAATATATAATAGTGATATTGGTTTTGATTCAGGATGCGGTGGTGGTGATGCTAGTTGTGACTTTAGAAAAATTTTAGTGCAAAAGAAGGTGTTTGTGAATCATTTGGCAGTGGACCTAGTGATGGTAGATGAAACATTTGAGGTGCAGTTGGTGATGTTGGGTTGGAGGTGGTGGAGGATTTGATGTATAGGTGGAGATGGTGATGTGATTGAGGTGGTAGTGGTTTGAAAGCAATGATGGTGATGCAATTGGTAGTGGGAGTGGGAACGAGGAAGTATAGGTCGGATAAAGAGTAGTTATGACCAACTATTAGATAACTATGATCAATAAAACGAATAAATTGTGACCAACAAATAACATTTGACATAAAATTGTGTGATTTGTGAGAAAATTTGTAATTATGACAATTTATGTTTTCGTGATTGAAAAATAAGTTGTAACCAATTAATTTGATAATTTGTGACTGTGAAATAAGTTATAATCTACAAAATTATTATTTGTGATCTAGAAATAATTTATGATCAATTTGTTACCATGAAACAAGTCATGACCTATAAAATTTGTTATTTGTGATCGAGAAATAAGTCATAATCAATTAATTTAAAAAATTGTGATCGTATAAAAAAAAAGGTCACGACTACACATATATTTGATTAAAGCTCTTGGCCATTGGTTACAGGTAATATGTCATTAGTCACTTATCACATGTAATAGGTTACATTTTGCATTGATAATACATCACAACAAGATGTATATCTAGTTACAACTCTCAGGTCATAACAAGACATATATTTTATTACAGTTCTGAGGTCACTAGTCACATGTCATTGATCAATGGTCACAACTAGACATGTGGTCGTTTGATTTTTCACAAGTGGATGTGATCGTGAACAAATAATAAAGTAGTAAATAGAGTGTCGAATCCACAAGGACAATGTATTTGATCAAGTTAAAATTAATTACAACTTGAATCGAATAGCAAACAACTTGTTGTGATTTTTCTAACTAATCCTTAAATTATTAATTAAACTAGTGAATGCAAATAAATGTGTTTTTCAAATATGTGATATGCATTATTAAGATGTCGAATCCCCTCATTATTCCATTTTTAGTATAACAATTAAATTGACAATTTGAAATCGTTGTAATTTTCAAAACGAATTTCGTGTCTAGCTATACCCTAACAGCCAATCGTGCCATACTCTAGTGCTCAATCTAAGTATTGTTCCTTTCAGCGCGGAATCATGATTTTTGGGTTATGAAGGCAAATAAAGTAAAATATAAAGTATCTTTACACCACACTTTTATGTTGGCTGCATTATAGTTTTAATTTCAGTAATATATATAACTTATATTTTATCATATTTTTATCTTCAACCTCTATTAATTTGTATATCTTATTTCTGATGATAGACTAAAATTTGTTAGGGTAGAGTAAAAAAAACTTATTTATCACCTATATTTTTAAATAATTAAAACAAACAACAAATACAAATTGTGACAAATATTTTTCACATTAACGAAATATTTGGAAAGAAACCATCACTAAAGACGAGATTTATCAATTAATTGAAGGTTAAAGACACAATGCGATGAAAAAAGTTGGGAAACTAGTGCCAAGGTAAGAAAAAAATAAGAAAATTCATTGCAATTAAATGCTGTCTACTTAGCCCTGGTTTGACTCTATTCATTTCGAAAATATTTATTTCTTAGATTCATTTTCAATAATACATTCACATAATAAAATATTCTACACGTAAATTAAAAACTTTTCTCTACTTTTTAGTTGCACATTCTCCAAAAATTACTATTTAAAACATAATTTTCACTCAATTTCTCTTTACAATGGCCATCAAACAGCTTCTTAACAATAATTGTTATATGAATACTATTCAATTACTCTAATATAAATCAGTTTTGTTTTGTTGTCAGATGACTTAAAATTAGAAGATAAAATATCACATGACATTCAGTCATTAAATTATTTTAAAAATAGTCAACAGTTCCACCCAATCAATTTTTTATCACACACTTTATCTATTATCCAGGGTGTTAAAATCATCAAGCAAAACAACATTTTACAATATAAATATTGAAAAATCTTCTCTCAACTAGTTGTCATGACATTAAGGACTGTGATGTATGGCAAGAGTGATAGCCCCCTTACATGAGGGGGGCCCACGATTAGTGTGGGATCCCCTCATATGAGGGGACTATAAGCTTATATAGTCGTATAAGTAGAGTAAGTAGAGTAACCCTGACATTATTATCCAAAAAAGTAGCTTACCAAATTACCCAAAAAAAAAAAAAAAATCATAAATATAATAAACACGTTGCATACTATAATTTCTCGAAACATGAAAAAAGTTCAATAAGAGAGGACAAGATCACAAGGGAAGAAATTCCTGTGACCATGATTGGAAGCATTTTGATTATAACATTCCAAATGAGATAAAATCACTGCACAGGCTTTCACACGGCACATAACACGTTCTATCTTTTAGATCATTCATATAATTTTTTAATGATTTTGCTAAATGTACATCAGGATTGACACACAAGTGTACAGTCTCTCTCACAAGCGGGGTCCACGATCTTTTTATTGGAGTCTATTTGTCCATGTAATTAGTTCGATTAGAAATCCGATATGCAGGGGAGGATTTACATGGTAGGATATGGGGTCAGTTGACCCCACAAAAAATTCTAAATTTTGTTTTTTTCTTATTTACACAAGTTTTTTCCATCATGTTTCCTAATTTCTTTCACGTCATTAATCTCATTCTTCCCTCATAATCTAAATTTGCAATTTATATCAAATAATTCTCTTTTTCTACTTAATTAGCTCGTCTCCATCAGCATCAACGACTTATCCACCGTAAACGAGAAAAAATTTTTAAAACGAAAATTTTAATTTTCGAGTGGAGCAAATTATTATTGAAATGAGTATTCAAGAAAAAATTGTTCGGATTTTTTTTTCTTTTTTTCTTTTGCAACTTAAATTTTTTTCCCACAATAAAGAATGTCTTACGCCGCCATTGCTTATAAGTTAAGTTTGGTAGGTTTACATATGATAACTTAACATTTCTATATACAGAAATGTTTGGAATTGACTTGGTATTATTTGTATTTGTCACGCTGTATTTAGTTTATTTATTGTAATGTGATTATTTAGATCCCTCATATTGAATAGAAGCTAAGGATTCACTTCTTTTGTTTCCTTATAAATGGAAACTTTCCCTTAGCACCGCCTTAGTCTCGAGTTCGCAAATATTTATAGAATGTTTTGGGTGATACTTGAGGATTCTATATTGTCTCACCCAATATTAATATTTTGGGATGAACTCGAGAATTTGGAGTGTGAGATAATAATTACTATGTGATTATAACAAATTTTCACATAGTGAAATTTCTTTTATTGTCCATGATTTTCTACATCTTTTTATTTTTTTTCATATAAATTGTTGTGTCCATGTTCGTGTTTGTGTTATTAATTTTTATTTTTTTGTTTTCTTGATATTTTCTCGAAAAAGGATCATGGTGTGAATTAGAATATTTGCCAGATGTCATGGACAAAATTATAAAATACAAAATTATCTTAAATAGGACAACATTTTGAAAGTTAGTGTGGAGAAGCTGCCCCAAGCTAAATATCCCCAAGTTCCCTTGCTTCAACCATAGTTGAACTTGCATGGCTCACCTTTCTTCTTCAGGATGTTTGCATTTGTGTTCACAACTTTAGTGATTACTTCACAATAATTTCAATCTGCCGATCATCCATGCAGGTATTTAACACATTGTAATGGATTATCACTCCGTATGAGAGAAAACTGCAACATGAACCTTAGTAAACGTATTCTTCCATCAAAAAATAGCCATTGGATTTTTTTTTCCTAAATGTTATGTAGAAATTGTTATCCATGTAAAGCCTCCCACGGGAATTTTTTAAATCGCAATATTAGCTGCAAGATAAAGTGTATAACAAATAATAATACTTTCCATAAGATTCAGTAGCCGTTTGAAATTGTCTTCCTAAATCCTTCTTTGTTTCTCGTTTTCTTGAATATAAATTAATATAAAGATTAACTAATTCAAGGCAATGAAATATTGGCATGGAAATATATTTCTGTTTCATAAACCCACCCCCGTAGGGATTCGTCAAAGTTACAAGAGAATTTAATGCAAGTGCAAATTCACAAAATATTGATCACCTTGCAGGTCAAACAAAGGATTCATATAACATAAAAATTGTTATTCTTCTTCAAAGAATATCAAGTTGATTAAAATAATTA